CCCCCCCAAACCAACCCTGCCTGCCACCCTGTTATATCATATACCATGTGGGTGTGTCTGCCCCGCCCTGATTCTCCCCCACAGGAACGGTCAAGCTGGTCGTCCGCTACACACCGCGCGTCCTAGACGAGATGGAGGCTCGCTTCGACAAGCAGAGGGCAGCGGGCCGCAAGCCTCAGCCGCAGTGATCTCCCCTACTTGTATAGCCTTCGTTATCCACCCAAAGCAATGTATGCATCATCGGTACAGTTTCTTGACATAGTTTTTGATGCGTGCATCGGTAGAGTTACTCCTAATAGTTTTCCCAGGGATTTTGTCATTCTTCTTTTGAAACTTTTTTTGTTTCCTGTTTCAAAAATGATCAAATGGTGTAAGTCATTAAGTTTAACGCCCCTGTCAACACTGTTAGGTTATTTAAGAGGCAAGACCTCCGAGGTTTAATGTCCATCCCTGAAAGGACCGTATCCTGTTTGCTGCATGTTATCTATCGTATTAATGATAATGTAGACAATTTCTACGGCACCCATTTCCGTACAATACAGCTCTAGGCGCTTCATAATATGTTCATCTCGACACAATACACTAGTGAATGGACGCACATACATACATTCTTTAGATTAGTGCTTACATTTAAGGAGACATTCCCACAATCACAGCACAATCAATGAAACAATGTCGTCAGCTGTTTTTATTGTGGTAAATCAGAAAAAGTAGGACTATGTCACATGTTTCTGATACACTCAACGTCCTTGGAGGAAAATTTGTCTTCCTTTCATGTGTCACGACATGGTGGAATCAGGGGCTCATTAATTTTTGGGCGTATGGAATTATGGTGTGTCTTTAGGCCATTCCCAAAGTGGGGACATTTCTCGTTCATGCACAGTAGAATTGTAAATGGGCTGATTCATCAAAGTCACGCTCATAACTGTGCCTGATCTACAACAGGGAACTGCTGCTTTTTCTTTCCTAATCCTTACTATCGTCACTTTTCCTCTACTTCTTTTGTATGTTTGTCACACTCTTGTGACCCGCTATTTCCGGGGTGCCTTGATAGTCGAAGCAGACTTTGTGCTGTTGAGGCTAGAGAGGTGAGCAGAGTAAGTCTGATTCCCTGTAAAGACTTCTCTCTTGGCATCCACTCCTTGGCGCTCATATGACCTCATGCAGTTGCGAGTGCCGTAAAACCTCTACTAAAAAAACAAAGACTTTGGTGTGATATTAAAGCCTGTTCGTTTGTCTTGCTGTTGATGAAAAAAATAGTCATCTATCTGGAATAGAATTGGAGATATTTTCTATTGAAGGAGGAGTTAGAGGTAATGTTAGCGAGAATGTGGCCACCAAAGTTTAGAGACTTCCAAAGCTTGTGCGTCCTTGGAATGTGAAAATTTACTTTGACTTTTTGTGCATTTGGTCAATATTTTTCCTGTAACTGCCTTGCTGAGATGTGTGTTATCTGTCAAATATCTGTCACAAGTGTCGTAAAACTTTTACTCAAACTAAGAAAACTAAACTCCTTTTTTCCTCAAGCGGCAAACAAATGAAATGTGGGTGGTTGGCGGGTGGTCAGGTGTGGTTTGCTCCTTCTTTCTTATCAAACATCTATTGTCTTTATCGCCCCTCCTTCTTTTTTGTGTTTGTTACTCTCTTGTAATACCTCTAATCTTCAGCACTTATATGACCTTATTTTGTTGCAAGTGCCGTAAAACTCTTACTAAAACTAAACAAATCAAAGTAATTTTGTGGTCGTTTTTGGCTAGTTCTAATCTTTGTTCATTTGTCTGTCTGTTTGTTTGTTTGTCTGTTTGTTTGTCCGTGGCCCAGGTACAGTCCGACTGTTAGTTCGTCACAACCCCAAGATTCTGCAGGCCATGGAGGCAAACTTCAACCAGCGGCGACTCTCGGCGTTCCGCAAGCGCTCCAGCGTGTACTGAGGGCAGGCGGCGTCTCGTGACAGACGGGAAGGATTGGGACGTGTTGTTTTGTCACCGGGAGACGATGGTGGGTGGTTGGCGGGTGCTCTGGTGCGCTTGCTCCTTCTTTCCTGCCACCAAACGTCTGTCGTCCTTTTCTCTCTTCCTTCTTTTTTGTGCTTGTTACTCTCTTGTAAAACCTCTAATCTTTGGCCCTTATATGACCTTTTTATTGTGTTGCAAGTGCTGTAAAACTCTTACTAAAACTAAGGAGAGATGACGGGCTTTTTTATCACTGGGCTTTGTCGGGGTTTTTGAGAGCATTCGAGGGGAGAAAGAAATGGACGGAGAACCACGGTCGCTGATGTCTGTAGTAGGTCTGGCTCTTTGTGGTGACGGGGATGATGGTTTTTGTAAAGTTTAGTGGACTTACGAAGTTTATGAACTGTGGAGTGGGCTTACGAAGTTTACAAACTGACATTCAATAATTGGAATTTTGCAGTGGAATGTTTTTTAAAATTTGTTCACTTGAGGAACTTTTCAGACGAGCTGTGGAAAGTTTTGTTTTTGGAGTAAACATTTTATGAAGTGAAGTGGGGGACACAATACATTTGCTTCTCATTGAAAAATGGACTGTTTGTTATTGAAAATATTGACATGAGCAAATAAATGAAATGAGGAGATGGAAAGTAGAGTGAGCACTTTGTGTTGGAGAAGAAGTTTGTTTGGTCAGTGCAATATGCCCACACTCACGACTGGAGCGTTTTTGTTTGAGGAATCGTTGTGAAGTCTGGTTGTGAAGTCGTAGAATTATCACTGAGGAGGAAGTCCAGTCTAGCAGTATCCAGATTCTTTTCTCTGATTAGATACATATTGTTATTATCATCATCATCGTAATCATTAATATCATTATTTTTTATATGGAGCAAATAACCTAGGAAAGAGAAACTAATATTCTGAGGGAAACTCGTGTTTTTTGCTCCTGGGGTGGTTGGCGGGTGGCCTAGTCCAGAGATCTGGGCAGTGGTCAGGTGTGAAAGTTTTCTCCTTGTCATGTCGGCTTTTGTACGTCTGACACGTTGGACCATTGTTGTACATAGTTTGTGAAAAACTCACATTTCCTGGGTTTTTTTTCGTTGTTTTTTGTTTTTTGTGATGTCATTTTTTCAATAATATTGTTCATATCATACGCCATAAGGAGAACATTTGTTGTTGTCTTTGGTGAGTCAGTCTTATCTAATCTTTAGTTATGTTTGTGTTGTTTCATACTGGGGGGGGGGGGGGGGAAAAGGCTGTCTGTCTGTCTGTCTGTCTGTCTGTCTGTCTGTCTGTCTGTCTGTCTGCCTGTCTGTCTGCCTGTCTGTCTGTCTGTCTGTCTGTCTGTCTGTCTGTCTTTACGGTCATAGTGACTGTTTATTTTCTTCCCCTCTGATCAAAGAAAAGGACAGAGGAGCTAAGTGTTGGGCTGCAAATCTTTACTTGTCTGTAACTCACGTTCTCAATGCACCGATACATTTTGCCTGGGAAGCATTTCTCTCCCCTGCGTAAGGCTACACAAGTTTGCCAGTTAAGAAAAATACAAGTGCAACACACACCCTGTGGTTTATTGCTATGTTTACTCAGTTATATATTATGTAACAACATGTATTATTATACTGGATCGATAACAACATGTATTATTATTACTATTGATTATAATATCATTATTATTGATTATTAATCTTTATTAATAATTAATAATATATGACAATTGTATCACTTGTATATCTCTGGGTGGAAAAATCTTGTGTTGTGAGATACGACAGTTTGTACTTTTGCCCTTGACCTAGTTTTTCATACTGCCACAAGTTGCGGGCTCCGTAAAACCCTCTACTAAAAAAAACGTTTAAAATACTGCCACGAGAAGTGAGTTGTGACTTTGTGTTGTGCCTGTTTACCGTTCATTTTGTCGTAAGACGCGCCAGTGACTGTATACCCCCGAGGCGGTGCCACTGACTTAAGTTGTCTTTAGGCCATTCCCAAAGGGGGGACATTAACATGTTCTTATGCACAGTAGAATTGTAAATGGGCTGATTTATCAATGTCATGCTCATACTGTGCCAGAACAACATAGGGGGAACTGCTGCTTTTTCTTTCCTCATCCTTACTATCGTCATTTTCCTCTACTTCTTTTGCATGTTTGTCACACTCTTGTGAACTGCTATTTCCGGGGTGCCTTGATAGTCGAAGCAGACTTTGTGCTGTTGAAGCTAGAGAGGTGAGCAGAGTAAGCCTGATTCCTCATTTGGACTTCTCTGTTAACATCCACCCCTTGGCGCTCATATGACCTTATGCAGTTGCGAGCGCTGTAAAACCTTTACTAAAACTAACTAAAGACGGACGGACGTGATTTCATTCCAGAGCGATCTGTGTCATTATTTCCTATTTGTGATTGGTGGTTTTGTATTTTCGTGTCTCACGTGTTTAGTTCCCCGTGTGTGTTTGTCATTTTACGTGAACCTTCCCGTATATATAACGCATATATTGTTATATATGTATTTGTGTGTGTATCATTTTTGTATAATTCAGATCAAATAAACAATTGCTCAGCTTACTAAGGGCAGTCTTTTTTGTTTTGTAAAATGTTGATGTTGTAAATATTCTGTCAGTGAGTGGTTGGCGGGTGCTCTGGTGTGGTTTGCTTCTTCTTTCCAATAAAAAAATCTATTGTCTTTATCTTCTCCCTTCCTTCTTTTTTGTGTTTGTTACTGTCTTGTAACACCTCTTATGTTGAGCACTTGTATGACCTTATTGTGTTGCACATGCCGTAAAACTCTTACAGAAACTAAAATTTAAAAATATTCTGTCAGCTCAGTTGGTATCATGCTTGTCTATGCAGTGGAGCGGGTGGTTGGAGGGTGCCACTGGTAGGTCCTATTTCTTTACTTTCCCTCTGTTGTTTCTGTCTATGTGGGTGGTTGGAGGATGTCACTGGTAGGTCCTACCGGTACTTCTTTACTTTCTCTCTCTTGTGTCTGTCTGTGTGGGTGGTTGGAGGGTGCCACTGGTAGGTCCTACTTCTTTACTCTCCCTCTGTTGTTTTTGTCTGTCTGTCTTACTTTTCCCCAGCACTAAATGACCATCATTGTGTCTACGTGCTTCTCTTTACTCCTCTATGGAGTGGACTGTGGATGGCTGTGGTTCGAATCTCCAATGGGGTGCTCTGACCTTGGGTTGTGTTGGGGAGGGGTTTTTTCAGGCTGTTCAACCACGTGGCTTGTTCTTATCTGAAGTGGCCGTCATTGCTCAGAAATAAACAGTCCGTGATGAAAGGAGAGTTAATCCGACACAGGGACAACTTATTGTGGTAAAAAAAAGTGCTTGAAAAAGATTACGTTTGGCAAAACGGCTTACATTTGACTAATTTTATCAACAAGTATAATATGCTATAATATAGTGTTAAGTACTCGTTAGGGCAAAAAGAGGACATTATCCTGACAGGTGGTCACTTTCATGGGGTGCTCCTAAGAGCAGTGAGGGTAGGACCGTAATAAAGTAATAGATCTAGACTTATAATAAATAATCCGTGGGGCCAAAACCGGATTACGCCCCCATTACCTACATATGACGTCACTCCTTGGCTTGGCAGAGCAACAAGATGACCATGAAGTATTTTAAAAATTGATCCCTTAAGTGCCTGGATTGGGGCAAGTTATCTGACTCGAGGAACTTTTGGGAGACACTCGGAACAACATCACGACTTTCTAGCTCATCCGTACTATTTTCTAGTTCATCCCCACTATTTTCTAGCTCATCCCGAATATTTTCTAGCTCATCCCCAGTATTTTCTAGCTCAACCATAGGTCATCCCCAGTATTTTTATCCCGAGCTGATCCCTAATATTTTCTAGCTCATCCCCAGCATTTTCTAGCTCATCCCCACTAGTTATTAGTTCATCCCGAGTATTTTCTATCTTATCCCCAGGATTTTATAGGTCATACCTAATATTTTTTAGATCATCCTCACTATTTTCTAGGTCATCCCCAGCATTTTCTAATTCATGCCTTATATTTTCTAGTTCATCCCTAGTATTTTCTAGCTCAACCTTAATATTTTCTAGCTCATCCGTAATATTTTCTAGCTCATCCGTAATATTTTCTAGCTTGTCCCCAGTATTTTTAGCTAATTCGTAATAATTTCTAGCTCATCCGTAGTATTTTCTAGCTCATTCCCAGTATTTTCTACCACATCCCCACTATTTATTAGTTCATCCCCAGTGTTTCTTAGCTCATCCCGAGTATTTTATAGCTCAACCATAATATCTTATAGATCATTCGTAATATTTTCTATCTCACCACCAATATTTTTTATCCCAACCACAATATTTTCCACCAGAAACCTAACATTTCTAGCCAATACTCAGTATTTTCTAGGTCATTCCCATTTTTTTCTAGCTCATAACTAGTATTTTCTAGCTCATGACCACTAATTTCTAGTTTATCCCCAGTAGTTTCTAGTTCATCTACAGAAATTTATTGCTCAACCTTAATATTTTCTAACTCATCCGTAATATTTTCTAAGTCATCCCTACTATTTTTTAGGTCATCACTGTCATTTTCTAGCTCACCCCGAGTATTTTATAAGTAGTTCCTAATATTTTCTAGCTCATCCCCAGTATTTTCTAGCTCACCCCCAGTATTTTATAAGTAGTTCCTAATATTTTCTAGCTCATCCCCAGTATTTTCTAGCTCACCCCCAGTATTTTATAAGTAGTTCCTAATATTTTCTAGCTCATCCCCAGTATTTTTTAGCTCACCCCCAGTGTTTTATAATTTGTTCCTAATATTTTTTAGCTGATCCCCAGAATTTTCTAGCTCACCCTCAGTATTTTATAAGTAGTTCCTAATATTTTCTAGCTCATCACCAGTATTTTTTAGCTCTACCCCCCAGTGTTTTATAAGTAGTTCCTAATATTTTTTACCTGTTCCCCAGAATTTTCTAGCTCACCCCCAGTATTTTATATGTAGTTCCTAATATTTCCAAACTCATCCCCAGTATTTTCTAACTCACCCCCAGTATTTTATAAGTAGTTCCTAATATTTTCTAGCTCACCCCCAGTATTTTATAAGTAGTTCGTAATATTTTCTAGCTCATCCCCAGTATTTTCTAGCTCACCCCCCAG